AGCTAGTGGCACACCAGTCTCACATATACCGTGCTGTACTGAACATGGCACTGAGGTGACAAGGACATACATGTACGCTCCCCACCTCCACTGTCAGGTACCTCAGGCTTTTTCAGGAGCTCAAGGTCAGGAGACTTCATTTAGACCAGGCGTCCCCAAACTACGGCCTGCGGGCCGCATGCGGCCCCCTGAGGCCATTTATCCGGCCCCCTGCCACACTTCAGGAAGGGGCACCTCTTTCACTGATGGTCAGTGAGAGGAGCACAGTATGTGGCGGCCCTCCAACGGTCTGAGGGACAGTGAACTGGCCCCCTGTGTAAAAAGTTTGGGGACACCTGATTTAGACTAAGAGGAGTCTGGGGCAGGGAAGTGGGGGTCTTCCTGCCAGTGTGTCCCAGCAGCACCATCCAGCTATGCACCCCACGCACTCCAGAGCCTTGGGACCTCTGAGTGCCCAGGTGGTACACCCAAGGGACAATAGCTCACAGTCTCTGGTGACTGACCACGGGCTTTCTCTGAGCTGAAACCACCCTTGGCTCCTGGCCCCACACTAGCCCTTGACACCTGATCCTGAGCCACAGGGCTACCCTTCATGTTCTAGATGATTTTGGCAACTTTACTTGGCTACAGTTGCTGACCTCCAGACTGATGTGTTCCCTTAATGTGGAGATAAGCAGTGGGGTTCTGGGGATCCTAGGTCAAGGGATGGGGTGGGCAGGTCTGTGGTCGGTCTATGTGGCTGTAGGCTCTTTCTGAAGCTTTATAGCTGGGCAGGTCTGTCAATGGGCAGCTGTGGCTGACTCCCTGCAGGTCTGGTGTAGACTAAGTTATGGTTGCAACTTGATACTTAATGATGTTCCAGAACAAATGGGTCTTTATCGGTCCTGGTCAGGTGGAGAAGCTCACAATTGGAAAGGTTTGGATTGGAGGAAGCTATGTGAACTATGGAGATCCCAGTTGCTCCAATAAACTCTTCAAATGATTAGAATTCAAGTTAGAACTAAGTGTAGGGCATCAGAGCTTTGTAGCCTAGTCTGGCAGCCCCTCAGGACTCAAACAACTGGTGTTTTGCCCCAGGCAGGGCCCAGTGCTCTGGGGGTGTGAGGTGGTACTAGTCAGGGAGGGGCTGTCATGCCATGGAGACACAGGATATTGTTGGCCAGGGCTTTGCAGGCCAAGGAAGAGGTTTTACTTTGAGGTCAGATGACTCTGTTGGTCCAGAAGAAGCCAGGTGTTTGGAGATGTCCCTGGCCTCTGTGGGCCTCCCTCCTCCCCAGGTCCAACACTGTGCCCAGTGCTCTGAGTCACCTGAAAGGCCCTGTTCCCCTAAGCTGTTACCAGGGCTGACATTTCTGTGGCACCACACTGGGCCTGAGTGGGTGGCGGGGCTGGATTAGATTGAGAGCTCCCCAGGAGCTATGATAGAGAGCAGAGGAGGGAGGGGCTTGATCTTCAAGTCCTGGCACTTGGATGTGGAGTGGGCAGGTGTTGCCTGAGGCTGGGGAGGTGGGCCTAGGAAAGGACCTGAAATCTGAGTTCTGACAGACACAAGGGGAATGGGGGCATAACGAGCTGAGAGCCCCCACTGTGTGCCCACTGGCACTGGAGATGCAGTAGGGGTTCAGATGAGGTGGAGTCTCATTTGCCCCATCCATGCCAGAGGCTTCTCCTGAGAGACCTGGGGAACTCCAGGTCTGGAGCCCAGAAATGGAGTCATTGCCCCCATCCTTTGCAGTCTAACAGGACTGCATCCCCGCAAGGCTGGACTCCATCACGACTCTCACTGACTAGCATTTCCACACCCGGGGTTTGTTGAAGCAGCAGGTGTCAGTTACAGAAATGTGTCCTCAGGCACCACCACCCCCGTTACCCACCCACATCCTTGTCTGCCAGCCCACGGCCAGCAAACTCACACCCCAACCCGGCAGTAAGTTGTTCCTGATGCTCTTCCAATCCATTTCCTGCAGCACTAGCCCCGGGAGTGGGTGGGAGCCCAGAGACTGCCCATGATCTTCTTACACGATTTTCATCCTCTTTGGCTTTGATAACACTCTTTAAGACTTCCTTGAACTTGGAGAAATCACTTTGCTCAGTAGTACAGCTCTCAGGCAAGTCTGTTGGCTAAATGAGAAATACACATTTAAGTCACTTTCTTAACAGGAAAGAAAATGAATAAATAAAAGCAAATCCTTGTCCTTCCAGCCACCCTCTAGGAGGTAACTCTGGCAGGCCCTCCCCAACTATTTGAGGGAGGGCATGGGGGTTGTGGGTGATACAGGGGCCCAGAGTCTAAGGACCATCCATAGCTTTGGGGAGGGAGCCCACAGGTTAGGCAGGTCCCGTGACTGTCCAGGACAGGGACATAAGGACCAGCAGGATGGGAGGAGTACCCCGGACTGTGCAAGCAGTGAGCAAAGAGGTAGGGACAGCTCAGTCACTTCTCCAGACACACCCTTGCAAACTGCTGCCCATCCCTGCATCATGTGTTCCCAGTGGGGCTCATTGTCCAGAAGAGGCTTCAAGGACAGGGCACACTGAAGCAAGCTTGCACTGGCTCTCAGTTCAAGTCCATGACCTCAACCTGAGTCCATGACCACTCCTGCTTTGACCTGTCTGAGACCTGTCCCACTGATCCCTGTGCATGAGGGCCTGGCAGAGAGCACAGACAGAAACCCCAAGAACCTCTGAATCGCCACGTCCTCACACCCAGCCCTCCACTCCTCACCCTCCACCCTGTGTTGGTGAGTGGACTTCTTTTAGATTGGAGACAATTCCTGAGAATAGCCACCTGTGTCCTAAGAGTGGCACAAGAGACCTTGCATGTGGCAGGCAGGGTGTCTATGAAGCCCTTTGCCTCACTGGGCCCCTGGCTGTGGTGCAGGGAAATAATGTCTCAGGTTCCCCTAAGAGCAAACAGCAACTTACTTTCAGCTTTGGACAGATTTTGGTAAGTTCTTTAATGTCCTTATACAGACTGTTATGTGATGGTCCTGTTTGTCGTGTTTGTTAATGAGATATTCAGGGTGGAGGTAAAGTTCTTTGTAAACTCCCTATAGCAGAGCTCCTGAAATGGGTGGGGCGCTGGGATGGTGGTGGTGCACAGCAGGGCACCAGCTGACCGGCCTCATCCATCCCTGGTTACCCTGGCCAGAAGGAGCCCTGGACTCAAGCTCAGGCCCTACCCTGATTCTCCCACAAGAAGACCTGTGGGCCTTGCAGACTGAGCAGTGGAGGCAATGTGCATCTGGTCTCTCGCTGGGCTCAGGGCTACACTTGGTTGGGAGGCCAGAGAGCCTGGCAAGCCCAGGACCTGGCCTCTGGCTTATCTGCTGACTGAGCTGGAGGTTCATCTGCATACTCTGAGCTTTCTCCCAGATTTCTCGCTCCATTATCCCTTGTTATCTCTTCCCTGGGCACTGACTGGTGGGATCTCTCTCTCTACGTCTTCAAATGTAGTGTGAAAGGCCCCCAGGTAGCTGTTTTTTACCTCACTGGTGTTCTGGGGCCTATTGAAGGAACCCTGGAAGCCAGAGAAATTAGTCAGGAACACGAAGGACCACTAAAAGCAAAATAACATTTCATGGAGACCAAGACTTATCTTCTATGTGTTGTCAGCCAAGAGTTCTTTCTGAATCTGAGCACAGATTGCTGTGTGATTTTTGTGGGTGACACTGTGGCTACTTTCATTGGGGCAGAATGGCCCAAGAGCACAAGAACCAGAAGCATGTGCAGGTGCATGGTATTACTTGAAGGTAGCTCCAAGCTGATCTGAGCCATGGGCTTGACAGCATTTCTCTGGAGAGGGGCACCTGTATATGTGAGTCTAAGGAAATGCTGAACTTCTTGTCAGTCATCACTGGCTTACATGGAAGACAGAGATGACTGTATTGCTAGGCAAGATGTGATTTTCATGCATTTTCAACAACCACAGCATCTTTCATGGATGCTGATACTCAGGCTTCATCCCTGACTTCTTACTCAGATGTGAACCTGAAGTCATGGTCTTTCTATATGAGCATGGGTGCGTCTCTGGCCAGGCCTGGCATGGTCTGCAGGTGCTGGCTGTAGCAAAGAGAGCAAGTGGGGTGGTGGGCGCATGACTGTGCATAGTGCCAGGCAGGGGCTAAAGCTGCCACCAGCAACCTTCCCCAGGTCTACCTGTCAAAGAGAAGCTGGCCCTGCTGCCCACCTAAAGACTTGAGACACATCCACTTCTTCATAGACCTGGAGGGAGTTGAGGGAACAGGTTCAGCAACAAGGCCTTCAACCTGGCTGTCAAAGCAAGGAGAAGGAGGAGGCCTGCTTTGTTTTCAGCCTGCAGACCATGAGTTTTAGGGGAAAGTACCTGATTAGATTCAAAATTTCATATAAAAATAAAAGTTCAGAAAAATGCTTCACTACAGCCATGTACTAATAAATTATGAGCTTACGTTCTGATTCTCAGAGATTAAGGTCACCCATTTTGGGGCAAGTTTGGTAAATGTGCTGCACTCTGACCCCTGTGGCTTGGTTTCTTTTCCCCTGAATGGTTAATCTATTTGCTATTTACTTTTGGAGTGGTTGAAGCCCCAAGTGTGAGGGGCAGGGCATGGGGCACAGGGGCCAAGGCCTCCACGGGGCAGGTGTTTTGCCTGATGCCAGGGTGGGCCTGTTCATCTAGTGACCAGCTGACCCCCAGGCCTCCCCAGGAAGGGTGATGCCCTTCTCTGGGACAAGATTTCCCTGGGCTGGTCACTTGGACTTCCAGGTAAACTAGAGAGCCAATCTCTGGGGTGGAAGCCGCGGAGCATCCAGGGAAGCCTGTCCAGGTGTGCAGAATTCCGCACCCATGCCCGGCTCTCACCTCACCTCTGCTCTGACAGTATTGCCCCTCAGATAGTGCCCAACCCCTAGCAGGCCTCCGTCCCCTTCCCACCTCCCCGCTTCCTCCCTTCCTTGCCTCATGGGAGGCAGGCACCACTGGCGTTTGCTCATGGTTGAAAACAAACTAGAACACTGCACAAATAGAAGTATATTTTTAATAATTATTATTACAGTAAAACATCTTGAATAAATATGGAGTAAAAACTTAAATAAATAAATATTTTAAAAATATAAATATATAAATAAATATTACTGATTTCTGCTAGTATAAAATAGTCCCGTTCCTCTGCCATTCCTGTATCAGGGTCAGTGTGGCCCAGGGCAGTACCAGGCCACCCCCACCATGGCTGGTCCCTTGGTCCCTCCAAGATGACCATTCTGAGTTTCTAGTTCTTGTTTCATGAGAGAGCAGCTCCCCAGGCTGGCCAGCCTCATCCGGCCTGCCTCACTCCTGGACTGGGTCCCAGCAGTCAACAGGGATGGCAAGCAAAAAGTCCTTCAGGTTCTCTTTGAAACTTTCATAGGTGATAATCTTGGTTGCACAGGAAGTTTCCTTTAAAAAAAGAAAAATAAAAAACACTTGAGTCCAGGCACGTGGGTAACGTGGGGGAAACACCAGCATGTTTCTGCACTGCCTCTTAGAACTCAGAGGCCAGGAGGCCTACTCCAAGACCTACCCACTGACCTGGGTCAGGTGATGCTGCTGCCACCCATGTGTTCCCCAAGGAGTGCACAGCTCTGCCAGTGGCACCTGGAGCCAAAGTCCTGACTTAAGTGCCAGCCTGAGGTTGGTCTTCTTGGCAGTCAGACGCCTGCCTTTTTGGTCCCAAGACAGGGCAGGGCAGGGCAGCTGTACCGAGGCCGTCTCCGGGAACCCAGAAGGAGCGGAGTCAAGGCCACAGACTTTGCTCCCTTCCCACAGGAAGGAGTGCCTGAGACCCTTGTCCATTCTGGCTTGTCTCCTTCCTTGATTCTGTACAATTCAGGCACCCATATGGGGCCAGGGGAAAGTCCTGCCAGGAGGTGGCACTTGGGCCAGGGCACTTCCTCTGGCCCTTGGGCAGGCCCCGAATTTCCTTGGGTTTGCCTAACCTCTGACCTCATTAACCATAATAACAATAATGACCAGAATTGGAGCAGCTCCTGCTGGGGAGCACTCTGGGCTTCAGTGCTTCATGGCTCTGACTCCTTGGGATGAAATGGGCCATCTGCCTCCTCTCTGGAGGGCTAATCATTACGTAGCTATTGGCATAGAACCCCCTTGAGGTCCTGAACAGCCACAGCCAGAGGTCTCTCCTCATGTCGGCCCCACCCCCCTAGACTAAGACCTTCCTGCTAGGGGCTCTGCCATATGCACTCACCAGGGTTGGGGGGCAGTGCTGCTTGTAGTGGCTGGCTATCATGGTCAAGAGGCCCTTGAGCTTGGTGAGGCTGCCCCGCAGGCTTTCCTTGTACAGCTCCACGCGGGTCTGTAGGCAGGTCGGCTCCTGTGGGAAATGTCGTTCCTGGGTGAGCAATGGCCAAGTGCCTGCAGTGGCACAGGAACTCTCCACCACTCCTTTCTGCGCTATCCCCAGCTCCCAGGAATAGGGCTTCGGAGGGGCACAGTCTGGGTCCAGTCATATACCCTGCCCCGTCCACAGTAGGCATGAGCTTGCCCTCCTCACTGTCCAGCCCAGGCCACCCTCAACGGCACCTGGAGAGGATCCCAGCCTTAGGGAAAGAGGTCACTCTCACCCCATCATTCAGGGAGGGGGCAGGGCCTCGCCCGAACCTGCTGGGTGGGCAAGGGTTGTTCCTAAAACCCCTCTGTGCCTCTCTGTAGTTAGCACTGTGTCAACAGGACTTGGTCTCAGGGCACAGTGAGCGCCCCAAACCCACAGCTCCTATCTCATGAAGTGCCCCTCACTTTACCACCTGTCCCCTGGTGACTCCTGGCCCTTGAATGCTAGGTCTGCTCATGCCACTCAGCTGATAAAGGAGCTCATGTGACTGCCACAGGGGCACGGCCAGCAGCCTCTTGAGCATCAAGGCAGCTCTTGCTGCCCCCTCCTCCTGGCAGTCAGCTGAGTGGAGAGAAAGTGGACAACCCTGTGAGGTGCCATCTAAAATAGAGTTCCCACCTCTACCCCAGGGCAGGGGCTCTGGAAAGCTATGTCAGAGAGAAGCATCTTACCTGGCGGTCAAACATTTCTGAGACCACTTCTGTTTCATTCTGTAGAAAAGGAAAATGTCATGTTAGCAAGCTGACAGGCATGGCTAGTCCAGGGCCAGCAGGGTGGCCTAGGCACGGGGCCACGCTCGCTTTCTCACTTACTGTCTCAGGAGCAGTGTCTCTACTCAGATTCAGGAGACGCTGGGCCTCCTGGATGGCATTCACATGCTTCAAGGGCTGTGTGTCGGGGCTGGGCAAATGGGTAGGTGCAGAGATGCTGCCGGCCACAGTGCCCAAGAGCAGCAGGTTCTGCAGCCACATCCTCCTGAGAACTTTAGCCTTTCTCTCTGTGTACTGGGCTCACTGGCAAAAGAGCTCTTAAATACACAGAGGAAATGATTAATGGTGACCACAAAACGCCAGGGAGGCGGGGGAACTACCTGAACTGTGGAATCTCCTGGCCCTTATCAGCCACACATGGGAACGGTGAGCCTTTTCCTCAGGTGGTCAGACTCGGGGATTTTCATTAATGAACCTTTCCAAGAACCAACAGCCCACCCACCCACCTTCCTGAGGGCTCTCCAACCTTCCCTGGGCAGTCTAAATGGGCCCGAGGCTGCCCCCTCCTTCTGAGGGGGCACAGCTTGGACTTTCTGTCCTGGAATGGCTGGGGTAGGGTGTGGGAGATACTTAGATAGGGATCCTCATCCTGCCTATAATCCCAGGGGCCTTTGGGCAGGCTGTGCCTGCCCTGGTGCCTCATTCTGACTCTAGCCTTCCTCTTCTCTGGCCACTGTGAGAGACTTGAGTGTGAGGGGAACTCTCTCAGACCTTCCCTCTTGATGATTCACACAGACTCCCACCCAGGACTCGGAGTAGCTGGCAAACTCAGTCCAGTAAGGGGGACCCCTGCCCCTGTGAGCAGAGGGAATGACCACCATGTGCACATTCAGCCACAAGACTGCAGCCACTCTCAGCAAGCTTTAGAGGGGTTGGGGCTGGGCCAAGTCAGGATCCAGAGTCTGACTCTTGGCTCTGGAGCCACCTTGCTGAGTGACTCCTCTCTCTGGTTATATGAGTCTTGACTCCCTCTGCAGAGCAGGTTACCCCTCTGAGGTGGGCACTACATACCTACATGTAGCCCCCAGAAAGCACCAGGAGCTTCAGGCTGGCTTCAGGACTGTGGCTGTACCCGTTTCAGGTACAGGGACAATGGCTTTCCCAGTAAGGTATTCCAGGCTTAATCTCCTACATAGCCCCAGCAGCCCCCAACTCCAGAGGCCTTTCTGTGGAAGTAGGAACTGCTTCTGGAAAGCTCAAGGGGCTGACAAGTGTTTGATTTTCACAATGGAGTTCAGAGAAGACAGCACGAGTTTGTTTACACAAGGTATCTGGTTCAAGCTGACCCATGCCTGGGGTTTCATGGCTAAAGGGGTGTGGGCCCACATGTGTCCATTTCTGGGTGTGTGTGTGCTGCTGTGATTGGTTGCATCTGTACATACAAGTGTGTCATGAAGGAGAGGATGTTTTTCACGCAGATGCATGTTACCTGAGAGTCCTCTTACCTGCTTTATGTGAGTCCTCTTACCTGCTTTGTGAAAGGCTCCAGGCCTCTGAAGGTGCCCCCTAATACTGGAGATGCTCCCCACCCAGGGTTCAGAACCTCTGGGCTCCAGAGGCTGATTCGGCTGAAACCAATGGGGTCGGACACAAGCGAGAACACTCTGCTGGACTCAGGTTGATGAGCCTTCAGAGAGCAGGTGGAATTCATGGCTTTAGCGCTGTGGTCTGAGCCTCTAGGCCTGGGAAGGCTACCTCCCTGTATGGTGGGAGTTTTTCTGACTTTGCATAGGGAAGCCAAACCTTAGTCCTCTACACCCCACTGTGAGGCCAGTCTCATCCATCTGAGCGTGGGTAGAGCACTCCTACATGGCCAGGCTGGAGTGGGAACATGAAATGTCTACACCCGTCCTCCACCTTTTTTTGTAAGGCCTTTGGCTCAGCTCTTTCTAGGGAGCTCTCAGGGGAAAGATGAGGACATGGATACTACACGTAGATCCCACATGTGTTGGACAGCACCCTGGAGGCTGGAGGACAGGGAAGGGAGCCACAGACAATGGTTCTGCTGGTGGCCAGGGAGGCAGAGAGCCTGTATGACCCATCTAGGAGGGAAGGCCACTTTCCTCCTGAAAATGAGTTGTCGTAGCTCAGACAGTTAGTCTGAGCCTTTCCAATATCCACCAAGCCCTGTTCTGGGGAGAAAGTGGATGGGACCCTCCCACTGGCCCTCACATCTGGCCCTTGAGGCTCTCGGTCTGGTAGGAAACGGACTGCAATGGACCCTCCCACGATGTGACTTTCATTTGGCAGGGGGAAGTCCAGAGCTGAAGGAGCCCAGAGAGCCATCTTCTCTAGCCTGGGGATCCAAGGGGACTAGAGCTTCCCTGGAGATCCTGCCTGCAAGCCCAGGTTGAAAGTCTAGAAGTCAGGCTGGTATATTGGGTTGGAGGAGAGAGGGGCAGGAGAGGACAGAGGAGAATGTTCTGGGCACAGGGAGGCCTGGGGTTTTAGGAATGGATATAAGGAAGAGGAGGCAGACTCCAGAGAGACTGAGGAAGAAGAATCTCTAAAGGACTTGGTGCTGTAGTGAAGTCACTCAGTCATTCATTATTTTTTTGAGCACCTACTAGGTTCCCAGCAGGGAAAGGGGATATGAGGATGACAAAAAACAGTCAGGGTCCTGCCTCCACAGACTTTTTAACCCCATCCATGGAGGAGCAAGATTAGTCTACTTACCCGCTTCCCACCAAAGTGTGCTTTGAATGTGTGTAAGAGAAGATAGAATCACGGTCCATGTGGCTAAGGTGAGGACCCAGGGGGCAAAGGAGCAGGTCTTCAGAATGTGAGGCCCACAGGAAGTTTTGGAGTTTCAGAGGCTGCATGTATAGGAGACAGATCTGGCAGCGGTCCCTGCTCATGTAGTAGCTGAGGAGGTTATTCAGGAAGAAGGGCTGAGGGCCAGCCTGTGTTTAAGAGCTGGGACATAACAGATGGGCAAGTGACAGGCCAGTGGCCAAGGGCCTAGGAGAGAAGGAAAGGAGGAAACCAAGAGTCATAAGGAGAAATCTGTTCTGACAGTGGTGGCCTGCAGGTGCCCAAGTCAGCATTTGCAGGACAGAAATCCATGGGATTGCTGATGAGGTTTGTGGGCAGCCACACATATTTCTCATGGAAAGATGACATCAGGGCCGAGGCTGTGACACAGGCAGGCATTCCTAGATTGCACCGCATTTTAAACAGTGTCAACAGATAGCATCCAGCCAGCCATGCTGACTCAGGGGCTCCGATGGGGCTGTGGCAGGGCAGAGGTGGGGACCACAATGGGTAGTATGAGCCCCTGGGGCCCCCTTCCTACAGAGACAGGAGAAAACCCTCTGGAAGGAGTTTCCACCACATAGGCTCTGTAGGAAACAGGGGCTTGAGTCACTCCAGGATCCTTATCACAGGAGACATTATCACAAGGGGAAGGAAATAGGCCTCAAAGTCCCTTCGGTCTCATGGCACCTTCACACAGGCTTCGGGGCTGATCTAATCCTTCTTTGTCCTGTCTACCCCTTGATGAGGGTCCTTGTTATTTCTGGGGGCCTGAGATCTGGGAGACCAGTGGTTGGCCAAGTCCACACAGTCGGTGACTGAAGAGTCAGGATTTGAACCCATATCAGTTCCTGCTATCCTAGTGTTTTCCACTGCCTTGGGGTCAGGAAGTTGGGAAATGCTGGTCACCTGGATGGACCAGCAGGTGATGGACCCAGCATGCTTGTCCCCCTCAAGGCAGCTGTAAAGAGAGATGCCTGCCAGGTGTTGGCAGGTAGGCTGGAGTGGCCTGTGACTGTCCCAGGGAAGTCTGGGCTGAAGGCAGAATTTCCCCAGGAGATCCTGCCATCCAGGCGTCTCTATGCCCCAGGCTTCGGCTCTTGTCCTTGCCCAGCCACCAACAATCCCTAAAGTACAGGAAAGTCCCTCTTCCCTGAGCCTCAACTCCTGCATCTGTACAATGGGAACCACCACTGCCTCACAGAGGAAACTGTTGCCTGTCCCAAGAAACTGTGTGGGAAATCCTCCCAGGGAAGAGTCAGTGCTTCAATTTCTCCTCTCCCCACTGCTAGGGAGGTTTCAGAAGCCCAAACTGGGCAGAGGAGCCAGGCTTGCTGGAGTTTTCAGGGACAGCTGCCCCCTGTGCAGCCCTAGCCCCAGAGAGCACCTTTCTGGACACACATGGTGAGGCAGGGAGTCCAGCCTCCACCAAGTCAGGGCTCCTGGGTCCTGTATAACCAACAGGAGGTGATTTTGCACAGCACTGTGAGTGGCTTGTCTTTCCCTGAGAGGGTTCTTGTCGCTCCAGGACACACCAGGCACGTGATGCAACATCTCTGGCCTCCGTGGTTTCAGCCCCATTCTGTCCTCGCCTGCATCCCCTCTGTCTTGGTCCCCAGATGTACATCTCAAAAAGGGTAGCTACCTGGCCAAGCTCCGGTTCCGGTTCGGCCTCTGGGTATTCCCAGGTTCCTGGCACTGGGGAGTCTTGACTGGCCTGGGAGGGTCTGAGGGTGGTTAATCCTCAACCATTTGCGGACCCTGCATCTATTCAGCCAAGCTTCTGGGAGGGCCTGCTGCAAAGGACACACCTTTGCTTTCAGAGAACTTACTTCTGGCGGTCCCATGGAGTGGGGGACAGGGGGCACAAGGCCCGCACTCATAGGCACAGTGTTAAGGGATCTAGCCAAGATATACACCCAGAGAATGAACAGCCGTGAGAAGTAGTCATGAAATGAAACTAGCAGGTTAAGGGAAGCGCCTGAGGGGATTAGTTGGGGGTGTGAGTTTGGGGCAGGAATGAGGAGGAGTCTCTGGTGTTAGGGCTCTGAGTCAGGCAGCTGGATAGACATCAAGGCCACTTGCTGTGATGGGGGAGACACAAGGTCACAGAGAGGTTTGAGAGGTCAGCTCATACTGGACTGGACATGACAAGTTTGAGAGGCCCCCTGGGGACCTCTAGGAAGACTCAGTCAATTGTGGCCATGTGGGCCAGGAAGTCAGGGCATTTGGTAAAGAGGAGGATCCCGACACCAGAGGGGCCATGCAGAGTGAGCCAGGCATGAAGTAGTGCCCGGGATGTCAGCTTTTTTTTTTGACATGGAGTCTTGCTGTGTTGCCAGTCTGGAGTGCAGTGGTGCGATCTTGGCTCACTGCAACCTCTGCCTCCCAGGTTCAAGCAATTCTCCTGCCTCAGCCTCCTGAGTAGCTGGGATTACAGGTGCCCACCACCACTCCCAGTTAATTTTTATATTTT